CCTATAATGTATTAATTGAAACTGAAGTTAATAGTATTTGGTGTATATCAATGAACTTTTCACTTTTTACAGTTGTTTTGCTTATATTCACAAGCAGACCAAATCATTCTCTTTTTAAATGTAAACCATAAAACCTGAATTACTCCATTTTTTCTGAATGGTGTGAAAATTTAAGCTAGTAAAACTCTACAAATAAGCTTCAGTGAATTAATTAGCTTTATTATTCAAAAAGAGCCATACACAACATCTATAAATCTTAACTTCGAATTGTCAACAGCCACAAAAGGAACAGCCTAATTTGTTATCAGTTGAGTGATCAATGGTGAAGTTGCGTTTGATGTATTAGAAAATCAGCTGAGTATATTACTCTGAGGGTTTGGTAATAACTACAAACATACAACTGTTGGAGCTCAAGCAAAGTATGTGTACACATATATGAGTGAAGTATATATCGATTTATCATCATATTACTTAGATAGTTGAAGAAAGGTTTAGCTGCTAGACTTCAGTTGACGCTGATGAAATAGCAACGGACTTGACTCCCATTTGATTTTCAACTGCAATTTCTAGTCCATTTCTACATAATTTTCACTTCTGACACGACCAGACTGACGACACAGTATGTGACCACAGTGGTGAGTGAACCAGATATGAACCTTTAGCGGCATGATTTTGGCTTATTTAGATATAATAAGCACTGAATCTGGGTTAGGCACTTTTTTTGCTTGCCTCTTAAACCCAACACCAAATTACACTTCATTTTGGTATCTCCTAACTCAACTTTCTGACCACACCCCAAGCTCACTAGTTTGAATTTCACCAACACTTGAGCTTTGACGGTTATATCAATTACCATATGATATTCAGTTCATATACATTTAGTTAAAAACACCTTATGACTTCAAATGAGGATACATAGTAGTTGTTTATTAAAGTATCTGCTGCTTTGCAAAATCATCTCTCCGCTTTTGATGGTGATCGCTACACTATCTGTGCTATTGAGCAGTCATGAGTTACGATGGGGTGATCCAGATAGTAAATGAAAATGCAAAGTAACCCAGTTTGTCTAATTTTGGTTCACTATGTTGGTCATTTTTATTGATTTTGCTTACAATCAATTGAAAGAATTTTCATGCTGAAAAAACTTTATACAATATCTTCCTGCAATCCTTCGAATATGTTTCTATCCCAACGCAGCCAGAGTACATGACATCGATTCACTCCAAATGAATGAAGCTTTTATTTTAAAGGGTTATGTTACTTTTGACATAATCAAGTTGAAATGATCATTCAAAATTTCAACACAAAAATGTACGACTAATTGCATTATCGCCTTATCGTAAATGGAAATGAGCAAGTTTCTTAGTTGGTACATAATTCCTCAATACCAAGCAATAAATATTGAAAAGAAACATAAATAAGGCTTTTTGAAGGTGAAAGAAAGCCTACTCATAGGAAACCATTCTTTTAAGTTCCATACTTATTGACACTTGTAAAGAAAATATTGTTGCGAACAAAATATTACTGAATAATTCAGAAAACCTACGCAGTGCTCCATGACGAGCTGAACTCGATGAATATGTACAGTTATATGTCTTCGCCTTCAGATTAAGAAATAAATAAAATGAGATCTTAATTTCATGTAAAAAAAGCTTTGAAACTGTCACTACCATGATGGTTAACTTCAAATCAAAGATGACAATTCAAAGATCTATTCACAAAAAATTTATTCGGAACAGGAAAATTATTAGTAAAGAAAGCTTCCTCATTATCAGTTCACTATTCTCAAGAACATGAAAAATATGCAATGAAGATAGCATCGAAGGTAAGCTAGAAAACTTAGAGAAATCCTGATGAAAAATGGATACTCACTGAAATCATAAGTAGGAATCAGAAGTCGATGAAAGCTACAGAACATTTGTATACTGCTTCGAAAAAGGTTTTACTGTTGAACCTTGAATTCAAGGGAGATAATGCGACAGCTTTCCTTGGAAAGAGACCATCAGGATTCATAAACAGAACATTCTTTGTCCTCAATCCTAGAGTCACACTCTTCTGTCAGAAACTCATTCATTAGTATTCAAAAGATAGGCTGGATCAACTGGCCGCAACAGTGTGGGTATATCAGTTCACTTGCTCCTGTGAAGCCAAGTACATTGATTGGGCCACGCGCCAGCTCATGTAGTGTGCTTACGAACACTAATCAACTTGAATGATTAACAATGGTAGAACGGAAGTGCATCCTCAATTCTGTAAGAGAGTACTTAGTAAACGCAGGATATTTGGCCCCTATTGATAATTCTTTCAAAATTTTATGCAAAATGTGACCAAGCCACTCGAAAGAAGTGAGCTCAAGACATCTAGGCATAGCTGAAACTTTAGTGATTCAAGAGTTCAAAATGTCATTATACATTCAAAAGAAGTATGTAAAATCTCTCTTTGCCATGGCTGTTTTAGAGTATCAATCATCCGAGATAATTCCCACATGACTTAACTATATTTTGTAATCACAGTGTTTATTTTCCTATTTTAAACGCCTATAGACAAAACTTAACTTCTCTCCTTCATACAGTTTATATTCACCTTTAAGCAGAAATTACTCTAGAATGTCCTATCTTTTGCACTATATATTCATGAATGTATAGCTAAGAGAATGGTTTTTTGAAAAACAAAATTTTTTTATTGCAATCGTCTTCTTTCTGTTCCTTTGATCAAGTGGATTTGTTTCGATAATTGCCAATGTCCTAAAAGTACATATTTAGAACACGAAAGCCCTTAAACATGGTCTTATACTTCTGCAGAAAGTCATGAATTTTAGCATATTGTAAATGCAAATTACCTGAAACTGAATGTCCAGTACGTCTGATTTGTCACAACTTATGACGAATGTTTTCTTTCCCCTTCCTTTAAGTACTAGAAAACTTCTAAACTTCTTGTTCTGAGTTCTATCACATACTCCATATGCTTGTATCCAATAATAATATGTCGAAGTCCATTTAGTCTAATTTTAACAGACAAGCTTCTTGATACTTCATTCGAGTGGTTATATTTATTTTCGTGATATCAGGCTTAATTTAAAATTGTTTGTTTAAGTATTTATTCAGGTATGAATTGTCTTGTACTTTTAGTATACCTTTACGGATTCACACAATTATCAAAATGCAATAAGCACGTTTACAAATTCTTAGTGTAATTAAGTTAAATTGATAAACGAATGATTTGTTCGATAAAAGCAGACAAAAAACTAAGCTTTCATAGAAGAAAAATTCAGTAATCTAGAGATATTATTAAATATATAGTAGTGGAGTTCAACGATGTTAAGTGTAATATGTCAAGCGGGTTTCTAGAACTCAAACAGATGGAGAAATCTCCTTACATTATAATGAAATGACAAGAACTAATGTGAGCGTAACTACACACAGTAAGATAATGCTCAACTAAATAAATAAACTAAGTAAAATTTGACCACTCAATGGATAGCAACCTTTGATATACTTGCTGATGTAGTTTCCGAACATAACACGTCGAAACTATGAAAAGGACGTGATTTCCCTTCAACTCCAAAGTATATTAAGTTACTGACCTAAACTTTTCCCTAAAATGCCAAACATACAAAATCGTCTTTATTGACTAGTCTTATGAAGGAAGGTGTCTTTAGAAACTGAGTACCGTTTTTAACAATATAATAGCTTACGGAGTTTTCAAACTAAAAATTTTCAGTCTTTTTATCATGAAATCATGCATCCTTAAAGCATCAGACAGACAAAACTATTCAATTCCAGGACTATTAATCTTTATGAATTAACTATAGTACTCAGAGTGAGAAGCATACTATTACTACAACATTTTATCAGTTCGATTTCATCATACACCTATTATTAACAATAAAAAGCAAACATCTGTCGAGGCATATAAATCAAAATTATAATTACTACCTTTGCTACATAACTTATATATGTAGATTTGAGGTTTCACTATAAACGGAAAAATTAGGGGTATCTTTCTCAGCCACATAAAGTTAGACCGTATGGTACACGGTGGTGTCAACTCGATCTCTGTCCATAACAGATATCAAGATTCATTATCGAGACAAATCGTGCCGATTGATTAGCTAGATTTGTTCTTATATCTGACTACGAATATTCCAGAAAGATAAATAAGTTTTTAATGATGGCACATTCATATCAGTCAGCTGCCCTAGAAGTAGTATATTCGTTATGTTTACTAATTGGTCATGTACGGCATAATTCTTATTATAAGATTGGTATTATAACCTGTTAAATGTGATTTCTTTCTGAAATTTCCATAGTGCTTTGAAGCAAGCAGCAGAACTAAAACCTGCATGTCATTCGTGTCAGACGTCAGCATGAACAACTAATGGTTTGAAGTTCACGGTGTCAGTGGCATCATGGATATCATAAAGTCACTTCAGTTTGGTAGTGATACATAAATTAATTGATTGTGGCGAAGCCTCAAGTATTTTAGACTACATTTAATCCTCTCTAATATTCACCGGTTTTTTATTAAGATGATTACGAAACCCAAGTATTATTTCACAAAGTAGGCGTGTAAATAACAAATTCGTTTGAGGGGGAAATGGAAACCATTGAATTTGAAACTAGTGACTAAATGATAACGTTCTAGCCACGAAACCCAACCATCTTACATTCTGTATCCTTGCTCGTATCTCTGAAAAGCCCCCAAACCGGGATAAATAGGTGTTCAGAGTTTCCTGATTTCCAAGAGGTTTTTGAAATGATGTAGATCTACAATGAAAATTCCTTCGACATTTCATTCTTTTTCTACCTTTACGGTGAATTCAACAGTGCCTGATACCAGAAACTGTAATCATTTCGTTTCTGAAGAGTAATATTTGATATACATTTGTGCACCAACGTAACAAACTAACTTTTACACCTCGATAAGGCTGCTTCTCAGACAGAATATTCATTTTCAGTATATTATTAATTCCTACTATTTTGGCTTCATATGTATTCAAGGTATGGAAACGCTTCGACAAAGACAGAAGTGGATATATTGAAGCAGATGAACTGAAGGTGAGTTTGATAAATAAGATCACTGAAGACTGTTTAACTTTTTGGGATGTTCTGCAAACAACATCTTAAATAAAAAACAATGAATAGTGCAATCAAAGTTAGGTCTGGAAATGATTTTATACATTTCTCAACACTAAAACAAATCAACCGTCACTAAAAAATTAGAAATGAATAGCAAGTTCAGAGCTGGTTAGAAAATTTTTAATCATTCGCTTCTTTAGCAAATGTGTACTAACATACTCACATCAATTACTCGCCTTACTAGTCGGTAGTTGATAACTAAGTATGATACATCACGTTATATACTTTTATTAACTCCTTGATTGCCGTGTGTGGTTGAGCACTAATTGATTTCATCACCAACCTGGATAACTGATGAAGTAATTGAGATAATGTTTCTTATGCACTGCTTGTTAGTGAATATATACTTTCGAAAAGTAATTTTTTGATAGTTATTGTTAGTTACGAAACCCACTTAAGAACTTACTGTGAAGGGTCGATTAGATTAACTAACATTATCTGAAGTTTTGTGTTTGTGGATAAGTTGAGCCTATATTATACAAATAAGGTAGATAAAAAAGGCACGTACTTTATGGCAGGAAATTGGATTTTTCAAATTTCAGAACGATGAAAAAAAGAAAAATCCTAACATCTCAACAATCTCCAGCTATTTTCGTCACTTAGATAAGAATACACCTTGAGATAAATGTAAGTTGTCAGCAGTAAATGACTGTACAGAGCACGAGGAAGGAACGTTCGAAATTGTAATGTGTTTGACGATTACAGTTATCAGTGTAAGAGATTATATCAATTTACCTTGAGGGTAGAATTGGAACGAATATTTTACCAAAACGTTGTCAGTTCATGAAAGTGTTAATACTTCTTGATAAGATCAATATTAATTTGAGTACTAAGTGGACTAAAAATTATTCGTCTTTCTGACTAGTTGTGAAATCCAGCACTCATGCTTCATTCTATTTGAGACTTGTCAGCTGGACGTACCTGCACCCCAATGAGTGACGCTGTTCCCACTGAAACCCCAACGCAGCACCCACTGCTCCAAACAGAAAATTATAGGCACCAAACAGCAACTTATGTCTGTTGCACAAAAGATGGATTTCGTGTCCCAGTTGTCTTATGGGTAACGCTGTGGCTTTTGAAGTGATGGCTACTGGGTTCGAATATCAGTGGGAACAACATCACTCACTAGGGTGCATGTGCATCCAGCTGACGAGTCCCAACAGGACAGAACGCACGTCCAGCACTCCTGTGCTAGTCACCAATATAAACACAGCATCATGAGTATTTGGCAGTATCGAGGTATCAATATAGAAGCTCACCTATCAACAGAGGTCAAGTGATTCGACCGAGTATAGCAACAGGCGATTACAAGTATCAACCAAGAACTGAGAAGGAACTTAAAAGAGAAAAACAACCGAAAAATTCAGCAAAACTATTATTTAAATGATGAAAGGGGATGAAAATATGAAAATGGACCAAGGATTAACATATACTCAATAGAAGAATAATGAGAGGAGTACGACTTGAACACATTATTTCATTGGACTCCTCTTCCCAGTTGGGACACAAATTTAAGTCATACAACACATGCTGAAATTCATTCTACTATAATTTTGTATCCGTTTTGAAATGCATCTGGCGCGATTTTGGCAATAACTAAATTAATTTTGGGATGGAATTCATCATGGACTGACATCAGTTGGAGGAACATTGGAAACCTGGAAGCACTGGAAAGCTGTTTCGTCCTGGTGTGGGACTCTTCAGCAGTGAGCACCTATGAACCCCCCCTGGGATTGAACCTGGGACCTTAAGGTTCCTTGACTAGTAAGTTCCCATTGAGCCACTAGGTAGGAATCCAATGCACCACATGGACCTCAACAGACCTCCAGATAGAATAACTAAATTGGCTATTTGGACTTATAACTATAGAACTGGATGGGAAGCTAATGAAAACCATTTTCTTAGTTTATATTTCACTTTCAATTACTTCGAATTTCAATGTATTTTAAATAATCTCTCCTCAGCATATCTTATATTCCAATACTTACAAGGTTCTTTTTGCCCCTGTCATTTTTAAAGTACTTCCGATTGCATATTATATATAGACATGACAGTTAAGTATGATTTTCTAACTTTCTTCAGATTTCATATTCATTACTACAGAATATTGATTCCTGGATATTCCAGAAACTGACTCAGTGTTTATCTTCATAAACTGAAGTATGTTAAGCGTACACCACACTTTATTAATTATTTTGATAGTCCAAGCTGCAAGCAGCTGAAGAGAGACCGAGGAAATAAAATGGTAACGTGTTATTGTGCTAGAATTGTTGTTCTTACTCATTGTAAACAAAGAGCAGTAAGACACTGGTTACTGAGCATTAGAGCGAAATATACGTAAAGGAAGAGCTACTCACTGACATTATACTGCCCGTTCTCCAACAGATATTCAAATACTCTTAGTTTTGACTACTTTTTCAAATAGAAATGAAAATGTTTTTTTTGCGAATGAAACTAGATTACATTTGCCTGAATGGTTTGAATGACGTTTAGAAATGTAGATTTGCTAACAAAATAATATCGTTTCTTTTGTGGGTTTATAATAATGAAATAAACTCAGCAAATTGAAATCAGTAAGCCAATCAAACAAAACCTGTTCCATCTTATAAACTTCAACTTTCTGAGATGTCACTTATTCTCATAGTTAACTTTGCTGATTTATATTTTGCATTTTTTTTGTGTTCTTCCATCCTATAAATCATCGAATTAGAAACATTTGAATTATAAATAGCTTCCAACAAAGATATGTGACTTTCCCTTTCAGAGTAAAGAAGATAAAAATTCAAAGTCGTTATGTAGTAAATAAATTCTGGGATCCATATAACCATATACAATTCATAATTATTCAGTTCACTTGTAGTTCCACGTAAACATAACTTTATTTCATGAAAGTGACATTTTGAAAAGTGATATCATTACGACAAGACTATTAGTTAGGTGATCAAAATGGAAAGAATGCATCTGTGTTATAAATAATCGCTAGACATTTATTTTGTGTATTTTGAAGGAATGTTTAACAGGATACACGTAAAACACGTAAGTAAGCATGTCAAAGAATGATCGATATAAACTGCATATAATTAGTTAACGATATCAAATGTTTTGACATCCTGAGGATATCGTCAGGCCTAGGATATAGCATTTTCATTGTGAACTGGCAAGTGGAATGTTTTATGATTTATACATCTCAAACAGAGTGACACTTTTCCTAGTTTCAAAGTACACTCAGACCTCTCACGATCGTAATGAAGCACATCTCTACAGATTTTTCAAAGATACATTGCTAACTAAAACAAAACAAATATATACATATAGATAAAAAGAAAAACAGCTCTTTAAATGACTTAGTCCACTTAGTTATTCATCATTAATTGAATCAATTAACTGGATGAGAGATATTAGAATTTTCAACATCCATAATCATGAATCACCATTTAAAGTAAGCTAGTTTGCTTACCATGTTCTCATACTTCCACTCAATGAGTTTCTTTATGTTAACAGAGACCTTTATGAAGTTCTAAACTGTTAGTAGAAATAAATTTGAAGATGACAGCTGTTTGTATCAGCTCCCTAATTGGTAAATAACTTTAAAATTTTTTGTATTAGCTTCTCAATTAGAAACTAGATATTATACTGAGAGTAGGCTTCATTCTAAATAAAATTAAAAGTTTTATGAATCAAAAAGCTTGATTATCATAATTTTTCAATAATTAATTCACAAAACTGCATTGCTATTTCAAGCACTGTCCAACTTACATTTTAAACATTGAAACAGAATACATTTTAATATTTTAATATTGTCTTCACCTATTTTCTACACAAAACATAACTCATCAACAACTGTTTTAAATGTCTCACTGAATCCATGTGAATACAAGTCGTTTTTGCTTCACCTACTTAAAGAAGCAAAGCCGGAAACAAACATTGAAGAAGGCAAACTTATCGAGTATACTTCATCTATTGTAAGTTTCTTAGTTTTGATTCTTTTTTAGCCATAGATTTAACTGATATATAATTAGAAATTATCTTTTATAAAAGTTGAAACTGTTTTAGCACTTTCAGACTGTCAAATCAATATGAACCAGAAAATAGAAATGAGATCAAATAATTCATTGCAAGGTCAACTGATTTACATAGCCTAGTGACCATTTATCTGGCCATATATCAAATTCGAAGTTTAGATTATTTGATGCTGAATCCTATGATTACGAATACATCACTAAGTCCGTATACTGTTAGCTTTAAAGACAGTATATTTTTTAACTTCACTCAGAAATGTGACAAGTGGAAAGTTGAACAGTTCAAAAATGAATGAAGCTTTCGATCATATGGAATGAGTCAAACATAAGAGCTCATAAAATTCAGCCTCTTGACATAATTTTGTCAACAAATCAAGAATATTTCAAGCAAAATGAAGTGATACAAATAAAGACAACGTATTCGTACACAAAAGACCATTTTTAAAACCTGTGAGCTGTATTTTTGGTATCAGTCGTAGTCATTTACTCAGAAATCACTGACGTCACCAGTTATCGCCTTTACACTGTTAAAAGTACTTGAGCGTTTACTCCACACTATAATGAATGCTAACTTTTTTAAATATTCATTCATCACGGACTGACATTAGCTAGAGAACCATTGAAAACCTGACAGCACTGAACAGCTGTTTCATCGTAGTGTAGGACTCCTCAACAGTACGGACCCACGACCACATCCGCTAGCTATCAAACGCGTCAACCATCCAACCACTGGGTCGGTATTCAATGGTTCACAGTTTCAAACACCCGTCAATTAGTGACACAGCACGAATATTATCCAATATCTTCAGTTGGCATCCGCTTCCCTTCTGACTGCTTGACCATTCAGGTCACAGCTTCTCATTATAACTTAAGGGTATCCATCTGAAAGCAAGTCACTAATGAGCACTATACAGTAATGGATACTTTGGAGTTTGATGGGGATTTCAATTTTGAGGTAGTATTCATCATGGACTAACATCACGCTATGTCGCTAATTTATAGAAGTTGGAAACTGTGAACCACCGAACTCCGACCCAGTGGCCGAATGATTAACGCATTCGCTGTGAAACTTGCGGATGGGGTCGTGGGTGCGTACTGGTGTGAAGGTTTATACTAGGGTGAAACAGCTATCCAGTGCTCCCAGGTTTTCTATGGCTCTGCAATTGACGCCAGCCCGTGACGAATACTACCTCAAAATTGAAATCCCCATTAATTTCAAAATTTTGTAATATTTCCAGTCGTCCTAGTGAACTTTCTTAAAGGTGGTTAGTTGTGATAGAACACAATGAGGTATATGAGACGAAATATCTAATGCTGATTTTTTTCACATTATTCAGAGCACAACATTTTATATCACATAAAGCTGTTTTTATGGGTGTTTTTACCAATTCACTGGTTGCATGGACTCATTTGAAATCCCCTTCATTAATCGCATTGTTTCTTTCTTCACGCTGATGTGTATTAACACTTGACAAATATTACCTGAAAAGATTTATCAGATAATGAGACAACTACAAAGTTAAGAAAGTAAAATTGTCGAGTGAATATGATTAAGTTCATATCACACTATCGACTAGAAACCATTGAAACATGCCTAATGTGTGATAAAAGTAAATTAGTTAAAACAAAGTCGCCTATCGGTCTGATATTTCCCAGTGTTGATACATGATACCTTGGTATTTCAAGCTTCTTCAATTCGCAATAGAATCAAAGATGACGGAAGTGATTGTACAACTTAAAGGGACTATGATGTCCTAGTAATTGGAAGATTTGGAAGATACGTTTACCCAATGCTTCTAAATGTATCTGAGTTATTTTCAACATAAAACAGCATCTCGCTAACATCGTACATTTGAGAAAACTAACGAAACATAGTAAGGCATAATGAGTGGTCGGGTTATTTTCATTAAAATTAGAAGTTTTGTCGGTGATGTGGGTAGAAGTAACAAGCAGTTTCTCTTTATATTTAGTATCTATTAAGTGTATATCATAGGCGAATTTGGAAAATGGTTACCTAATTTTTTCGGCTACTTAATTGTGTCTTTCTGCATTTTCATATTAATGATACATAGAAACAGTTTGATCTGTTCTATCAGCTGAGTCGTATCAATAAAATTATTGTGGAAGAACAAGGCTAATCAACAATCGTATGCATACAAGAAAGGTCACTTCAGGTAGTTTAGGTTGTGGATAATCAGCAAGTAAGTCAAGCAACGGAATGACAGTACTGCTTTGTAGTTGCAGTTTCATGTATCAAAAACTGTAAGTGATGAGTTAATCCCCCTATATTCGATTATCCATGAAGAACACTAACTCCCAGATTACGGTATTTGATAAAGTAGAAGGTAGATAGATTCCCGCAGGAAAATATCTAGAAGCAAACTAGTGAAATTTTGATGTCTTGTATTCACAGTCTAATTGGTGTTAACATACACTAAATGTTAGACCAGGATTCTTCAGAAATCGTCTTAACACATCAAGCTGATCCACTGATGTCTAAAAAAAGTGGTCAGCATGTCAATTTTTACACAGTTTGTATTTATCTAAGTCACAGCGCGTTTAAAATAAAATAATTCTAAATTTGAACTTTATCTAATGTCAACCTTTTACTCAGTGCCTAACATTTGCTATACTATTCCGTCAAATCTTGGTTATAGTTCAAATAAACTACTTTACACTCGCATCAATTTTTGTTGCTAAATAAAAGCCTGTGGTCAGCCTTGTTTACATGAAGATAAAAATCCTCGAAGTTCAATTTATTTAACCGCTACAAATAAAAGTCAATGCATAATTCATGTATTGGACAAACAGAAAGAAGCAAATCATTGAAAAAAGCCTAATACTGAAGAAAATACATAAAAAATAATTTCATTTTAGTTGAACCACATTTACCGCCCCTTTGAGTTGATTTCATTGTCAGCCTAACCCTACACTGTCCAACGTTCAATTGTTTTCCTTCACGTGACACAAAATCTCATTTCCATTTTGTATAGCTTCAGTTGTTTGATCAAAATAAAGACGGTAAGCTGCAGCTCAGTGAGATGGCAAGGTGAGAATTTAATATATAAATCTTTCAATATTGATAATAATGACTTTATTCCACACAATACTTTGTATACATTTCAGAATTCTCAGCATCTGATAGCACACTGAAAATTGACTTAGCTCACATAAGTCCTCTTTTTACTTAGGGTTGAAATATACAGTTTGACATTTAGAAAAGTGGAGCCTAAGATAATTTGAAGTAGACTACTAGTTGACCGTAGATGAGGATCTATTCATTTGAGAACAAACTAACTGAGAAACAACACGTACAAACTCAGCCAGTTCATTAATATTTCTAGTAAAATTAGTTTTAGCAGATTTAGGTAAGACATGAGAAATAGAACGAAACAGGAAGGAGAGAGTTAAACTTTTAGGCACACTGGCTCAAGCATTCAATGAATAAGAGGTATTTTAAACGAAGTTATAGTATTCCACTTTTCATAAAACTGTGTTATTTTTGAGTAGAAGACAATGCCATACCTATAAGCTACGAATGCGACCGATTATGAAGTATGCATACTGTCATTATGTAGAACTGTATTGTATTTAACAGTTATGCAACAGAGGTAAATCTCCTGTACGCCGTTAGGAGACTCTGTTGAACATGTCATTCAAAATTGTATGAAACTGCTTCTGGAGCTATCAGTTTCATTTATTTTAACTTTCTTAGGTAATCTCAGAAAGCTAACTACTACTTACTTTTATGATCTTGGCTGAGTTTATTCAATAGGCTTCATACATACTTTAAAGTAATGTAGTGTGAAAACTTAAAAATAGGGCCTAAGTTGAACTAATGAGACACGTAAGATGGGATCAAGCATCTCCTACATCCAGTTCTAGACCAGTATTAGCCGAATGACATGTTGGAAAATCGGAGTTTTATGAATCTATAGTGTATCTTCATCCAGACCAGTGTTGTTAACTTACACTGTGGTGCTGGAACCCATTGTCTGCAATTCTGGATTAAGAAAATTAAGAACAATCAAATCGTCAAAAGTGGTAAATACTGGATCTTATTTTTAGGCGCCAAACCTCATGTCAAAATTCAACAGAAATATGACAGATTCTACAAAAAGGTGTCAAGATTGCTCCAAGTGTTTATTATCAATTATTTGTACATATTATTCCCGAGTTAGGTACTGTCTTCGAAAAGAAAAAAGACTTCGATTGCTTGATAGTTACGAAGAAACGTTAGAAACATGTGCAACAATAACAGTCAGCACATAAATTTTAACTACGAAGTAGGTGTTTCATTGTTGAGTACAAACTGTTTCAAAATATTATTATAAATCCATGCACAGTGGGGTCGGAACTTGTGCGCTGTGCTAAACTCTCACTAAAATTAGCCTTCACACTTAATTGTAATTAATATGGGGATAGCGAGAAGCGAAATTATAACTGAATACAACTTGTCGCGAAGTAGTGATTTCAGTCTTGGTGATAATGATCAGACGGATGAACTCCAGCGATGTATTGTCATTATAATTATTTATAATTAATTTTGAGGTAACATTTACGATTGACGTCGCCTTAGATAGCTTTGTCTTCAGAATATCTGGCTCATATGTTTCCTATCTGTGGTATTCCCAAGTGGTTAGGAAAGAAATCGAAAACAGATTTAGCGCCTTATTCATTACTTTATCAAATAAGTGCAGCTGATTCAAAGTTTAGACAGTTTAACGTAGATTACATCTCAGAATTCAGATTTTTGCTGCAAAAATTTTGACGGTATTGCCATTCAGTGTTATTAACCACCAAAACGTAGAGTTTTTATACTGTTATTGTAAATACAGCCGAAAATGCCAAGTGAAATGTCTAAGCCTAATGATTTGGGTTAGTAGTTGACTGAAAGTTGGTTAGTTTACGTATCATAACAGTGTTATCTAGTTGGCGGGAGCCAGTTATAATATGTTAATGTTTAGTCATTTTGTTCATGTGCCTGTTGCTCAATGTTTTATTCTTCTTTTTTCAGATTGCTACCCGTTAAAGAAAACTATTTATGCAGACCAATATTTAAGGTGAGTTTTTCATCTCAGCTTACCACACACTTTCTTGGTGTGATAAGTATTTGATTATATGTGATAGTTAGTTCGTTCGTGACTAAATCCCATTAGCTTTTCCACTGTAATGAACTACTTAACACAATTCTTGATGCTTATAAAACTGAAGCAGGAACATTGGAATCATCCTGACGATTCTCACGTAGGAGGAAAACTTCCGCTTCAAAGTTAACAGCACCAGAGTGGTTAGCATATGACATCTAAAAAGCATTTGCAGAAGAAGAACTTAGGCGTCCTGATGCTGTGAAGCCGGTATTTTTCATCGCTAGATCATGTAAAATCGTACCACTTCTAGGAGCATAAATACTTTGAGAGCATATGAATAGTGTACCCTGGCCATATTAACTACCGGGTTAAGTTATTGGATTTAGAGGAGCAAAATATTTTTGCTGTTAACTTACTGACTATTAGGTGCCGATAGGAATCAGAGTAAAACCAAATACCAACTTCCTACCTAAGTGGTCAGAACATGACGGTTTGTCAGTTTAAAATCGTCACTTCGTACTTATTTCACAAAAAATATAAGCTGCACCATAGTCATCTTGTCAGATTCATCACACAGTGAAGCAGTATTACTTAGGCGCTTCAGGTTTGTGGAAGCTAACATTTATGACATTCAAAAGTTACTCAAGAAACAGTCCAGCCGGTCAACCAACGGGTTACGTACCTAAAGGCACCTGCGTAATTCCTCCTTTTCCCAGTGATCATCTTTTCACTGTAAGATGAAAAAATGGGGTTAATACTCAAAAGACAATAAAATCCTCGATGAAGAAAATGAATATGTGAATTTTATTTCTAGAATCGTAAATTCATCTTTCATCTGCTACCACTTCACTCATCAAAATATGATTCTTACCACAAACTCGTCATGTAGTCTAGATTTTTTAAAAACACCTCATTCGCCTACTTTGCGATTACGCTACCTCAAAACTTTAATGAAGATGTTTCCAATTAATTAAATAAGCTATAAATTACCTTTTTTTACAGACTGCTTCAAAAATTACCTCGGCTGATATTGATCGGGCGTTTTCTCTTTATGACCTGGTAAGCAAATGAGGTAATTATCCTGAAAGATCTAGCCCTTATATTAAGCTTTCACTTTTTCAGAATTGCGTTTAAATTTCCCCCTTAAGTTGAGCGACACTAAATTTAATCTTACTGCTGTTTAATTCTGTTTACATGTTTGCTACTTGTTTAGAACCTTCACGTTTTTGTTGTCTAATAACTCCCATCACTGCCTAAAGACGAAGAAGGCAATCATAATTCACTTTGTTCTCGAAAAGCAGAAAAAAAGTTTTCAAGTACCAACAAAAATCTTGGCAATCAGAGTTTTATCAATAAAAAGGTGACAAAAGTGGATTTGACTTGCAAACTTGTAAGAAATATAGCTCAGGCATTTAAGCCCAAATGTCAAAATACAGTTTTACATGTGAAACAATCAAGCATATCATTTCATTGGATGAACTCTTTCGAATTTATATCAGTATCGTATGACATGAATTATCAGTTGTTCTCAATGCTGATGATTTTCTTGAATAAGTTATGTAGTAGAAAAATAATGTAATGAAAGAAAGTCTGGTGTTGTTTTGGTAATGAGAATAATTTATGTAAAACAATAGGATAAAAAAACAGTTTTAAAGCCGACATCCTAATGTAAATCCTTTGACCACAAAGCTTGAGAAATATAATATTATCACTAGACATTCTCAATACAGTAATTTAGTTGACATAAAGTTTTACAATAAGTCAGAAATCTCATTCCCCTTAAACTCTTCATTATCAACTTAAATATGTTTGAATAAACTATATGGAATGCAGTTTAACAAACTAATGTGGTTGTTTTTAAAATGAATGGATAGTGTTTGCCCCTTAGGTAAAAAGTCTAATGTCATTTGTACGGTAGCACCCATATTAATAACTTTATTAAAATGTAAAGAAGAAATCTCTCAAATTATTGGATTTTCAAGACCATCTGCTAACAGAGAAATCATAGTTGTAAGGTTGTCTAAAAAATAAAAACTTAAAAAGGATAAACGTTTATCTAGCATGCTTGGTTTCATTTGATGAAAATTTCTTTCCCGTTACCTGTTCTTCAATCATTTATCGACTCATCTTTCAATCACAAGACTACAAATTTAAATCTAATTAACAGAGTGAAACCTTAAAGGTATTTTAAGGCCATTTAAGAGTTCATGGTTATATAAAGTATCAGAGCTTCTAAATTCTTCATAGATAATGCATTAACTCCGGTACCAAAATATGCAAATTTTATTGTGTTGCTACCATACAGGATGCCAATGGTACAATAGAGGATGAAGAACTAGCAGGATTTCTGAAAGATCTATTGGAATTAGCTCAAGAGGTGAGTAAATCGATATACGTGTTCGGTAGGCATTCTCTATAAACTTTCAGTTAATATAAACACAAAACTTCGCCACTGTGGTAGAATGTTATTCCATCTTACTTGATTTATTGGATGTGTCACAGTGAAAAAGTATTGTTTACTGAATTACGTTTCTGACACAATTTACGATTCATAATCATATCAGAAAATGACTGTGAACAGTAAATTGTATATTCTAAACGTAAACTAATAAAAAATACGGTTTTACTGTGATACATCTAATAAATCAAGTAAGATGAAATCCAGCTTATTTATCCTGAAAAGCAAATTAATTTAGGAGCAATATATTGGCTTTCTAAGTGTTCATTGGCGACATCTTTGCTTAAAACATCAGCTAAGATTGAAAAATATCACCTTGTGTAGGGTATATACGACTCAATCAATACTTCATTAAACCCACAGCTTTTAGCAACTTAGGATTATTGTCACTTGGGAGACAATAGGTTACTCGGTGACCTAAAGAATTCAGCTAATTGAGGTCTTGTTTTTAGGTCACATGATCAGTTATATGACAATGGAAATCAATCAGTTTCATGCAATAAAAATCAGCACTACATGAGTATTAGTAAGTAACATCTGGTATTTCAAAATAAGTTGCTTTTGTGACTCAGTAGCTTAATGGATAAAAATATTGCGTTTGGGGCCACGGTGTGTATTTGAGTCCCTCTTAGAGCAAAACCACTCACTATGAGGTAAACACATTCAATTCACAAGTTCTAACAGGTGTCTTACATTCCACTGCTAACCATCACTGAACATTTAACTGAACTTGTTTATGTCAAACGGAAAACAAATGTGATTCAAAAAGACGGACCTAAAGGCATGAGATCTAGCATAATTACGCATCGCTTCAAGTTGCTACAATTCAGGCAACCAAGTCAAAGGAAAATCAGCAATATCGGAAACAAAAAGACTGATGATATTAATAATCATAGGATACAGGACCTTGAGAATTGAATGAAGGTGTCATATGAATAAATCTGTGTGACTCCCATTAGTTTCCTATTATAATAGCATGAGTCTTCAGGTAGTATTTTCATTTATTCAATGAATCTCACCACTTTCTTTATATTTGTCAGACAACTACTTATCGACCTATAAAGTTAATGTCTCACCTTTTTCTAGTCTATTTTAGCTTTCCTTAACTCAAGCTACTTATCACCATTTGAGGCCAAATAAGGTGACGGTTAGTTATTAGTTACAAATGCTGCAGCCGTTTAACCTAACTAGTGTGAGCAACGTAGCTAAATGCGAGACCTAGTACTCAATACCTGGCAGATTTGTTGGTTACAATGTGGCTACATCACACGCAGACGACAATATGAAAGCAAGAGTACTTAGATACCTTCAGGTTTTCCAGTTTTTAACTTCACTAGCTTTATCTTACAGTTATTTTATAGGACAGAGTGCAACTGACTTGAAACTGAGGTTTGAATGTCACAAGTGCCATGGACGTCATAGACTAAAAAATTCAACAAAGTAATTTCTATTTGTACTGGCATATTTTGACAACAGTTAGTGCACGAGAATTAAATCAGAGTGATGGGTATAAAACTTGCTTATTCCTTAGTTTTATACGAACCGCCAACACATACTAGATGCAAAGTAACATTCTGCATTTCTGAGGCGAGAAATAGTCTTCAGATATACTCAAACTGTCACAGATATTTAAGACGTCATTTGTTTGGTAGTGGCCGGCAGTGGGACCCAGGAGTCCACGCTGGTCAATTTAATCCCGTATAAAAACCAGCGGGAAAGCAAAAGGATCAATGAGTGTCACCAAAATTGTTGAAAAGACCAACATGCTTTCAGCTTCTTTACCTGACAAAATTATTTGGCATGAACACTTCAGTTTCAAGTAAGGCATTTCCGCAGAGTTAATTAGTGGTATAGTATATCGTTTGAATTGCTTTGCTGATGGAAATTCGAAAAAATGAGTGAAAAAGTGACATGAAGTTATGTTCAAGGCTTCAATCTAAGGATCTATAGAACCATGATTGTTGGGTAAACAAAGTGATAAACTAAATAATGCATAAGTTAGAAGTTTCATTGTGAATTTAACAACTTTTTATATTTGATAGCAGTGAAACATATTCAGAAATGTCCTAGTGTAGGTTGACATTAGTTACACTTTGATATGTGAATAAAATCTAACAATGAATGCTGATAACTTCCCCATCCCTAGAATATACAAAGAATCGCATTACAAGGCATACACTGTACTAATGGTTTTCGTTCGAGATCACTCCTAATTTTTATAACAATGTGTGTTATGCAGAGTTTTTCTTTCCTTACTAACCGACAACTTTATCTATTGAGGGATTATCGTTCTCTTTGCTAAACATTGATGTGACACAAAATTATGTTGGTGAATGGGTAATTTCACAGTTGCTAACAAATTACTTCAAGAATAAAATATTGTCAAAGATTTAGGGAAAAAAAATAACTTGTGAACACCTAAGTTTTGACGGCCAGCTAAAATTGCGGTCAATGTGACATTTTTAAACGTAGAGTAAAATGCTGACGTTAGTATTAGGAAAGACTTTACACTAGTTCATTACATTCACCGAATATATTCTTAGGGTTATAGATAACTTGATTTTGATTTAACTGTGAAACTATCTTTGAATACAATCTCATTTAGTTTTTCCTAAATCCGACTAAATTTTCGAGTGGAGTAGTCTAATGTCACCAAATGTTAACTGTTATAATCCTCTTTCTAGTGAACAGTATGAGTTTTTTAGTCAGTAAAACAGACCTTTTGAGAGGTATCAAAGAAAATGGCTTCAAACCAATAGGTTGAATAATGGCATAATAAGCGAAATATCTAGTAGGGAATGCTAAACACTGAGCTCACCTTCAGTTCAGTTTTGACAAATGGGTACTAAATATCAAGAAATGGAAAAATTTACCAGTATCATCAGCCTTTAGAGCAAAATTACTAATTTATTTTAAGTACTGTGTTTGTACACTGTTATAAAATAATCTGACTGTTTTTAAACTGCAAGGAGACTGAAAAATCCAGGGTGATACGCCCGACAGCTAAAATAGATTTTTCACAAACTTAAATATCAAGTCAATTAAGAAAATTTTTCTCCCTAGAAACATGTCATTTCTGAAATTTTATGTCCGTATTTATAGTTGTTAAAAACAAATAATAGTTTAATTTTCAAAAGAAATTTGGTATTCATTAGTTAAAATAGTAGTTCAGGAGAAAAGACTAATTATCAGTCTAGATTTGAAAAAGGTTGGATAGTAGAATTTAGAATGATCGGAGAAATAAGCTCTATATGAAACTTATCAAGGTGGAAACTGTTCTTTCATGAAGTATAGCAGCTAAATATCCACATTATAAGGACTAAAATGGTACAAATAAGCAAAGCACAGAATAGGAAGAACTGTGAATCAACAACCAATGTTAGTGAACCAAACAGTTTGAAAGGGGGACTGGAAGTAAACCAACTCGGGAAACTAGACAACCTCTTCCTAACATAAAGAGTAGGCTCAAAATAGTGAACTATTAGTGCCTTCGCTGCGCACAAACTGTATTTGTTATGCCTTAGCGATAATTGCAGATATATTTCTGCCCATGAAATGGGAGATTTTATTTGCTGAGTTACTTTCAATTACCTCTATAAATTGACAGATTTCTATTGTTGTTTAAATGTTGACCTTACTCAAGTTGAAACTCACTTCAGACAAAAGCAACATAAAATGTATTTACGTCCTACTTTAACATCTAGAATTGCCAATATGCTGAGTTTATTGATAAGTCGACCATAATTTCCCAAGTACACCCCTGACTTCACAGTTTCTAGGTGATGAAAACAAGTAAGCTATTTTAAAATCCTGGCAGTTATTTGGAGAATATACGAACGCTTCCAGTCACATTATAGGCAACTGTTCGGCAATGAAGTATATGAGCGGTATGTAAGTAGGTAGCATCTTTGTTGCGGTCATTCAGGATTCAAACAAGCCGTTGCTTCAGACAATCTAAAACTGAGCAACACTTTTTCGATTGCAAATAATATTTTAGCCATATAACCATTAGTTCCCAACACTTTCAGTTATAACACTTGCAACTATCACATACAAAATTCGCTACCATCGTATTGCAGATGTATGTGGATGACTATGACCAAAAGGCCCTGAATTATTACTTTGGTTTTCTGAAAACTGCTGTGAATGACAAACTCTAAATTTAATGTGCCACTGTGAATTATAAACCTGTCAAGACCATCGTACTGAACAAAGGACTAGGATATCACACTGACTGTCATTTGTATATATGCTTTATTTTTGCTATCATATCTCCTTTTTCCGTTTATTTTGAAGGACTACGATGAAGCTGATTTGGAATTTTTCAAGAAGGTAATCTTAAACCAATGGGATGTAAATAATGACGGGAAAATTAATCGAGACGAACTGAAAATGATGCTTATGCAACAGTCACGCCTGTTAGGTGATAAATCGTAAGTTTTAATAATGATAACTTTTAAAGGAAAAAGATGACTGAAGCGAAGAGCTACCTCCCTTATTTATGACATTTATATTCTGGTAAATATTAGCTCTAGTCTCCCCATTTCCGCATTCTTGTTCCTTTCTCTTTTTGTTTAACATTTCGAAACAAGTAATCATCTAAATAACCATTTTACCGCATTAATTAGTAAATTTTTCCCACATTTATCATCACAGTACTTTGACAACTACTCAGCATTTTTTATTGTATAACTCATATATTTCATGTTACCACATTATTCTTATTATTATTATCATTACTTCTAACAGTATTGTTAATCATAACCGAATAAATATGCATGATTACATTCCTCATGTATCTCAGTATTCCTCTTATACCGCCAACATTATTGATAGCGGCTAATAAGTTTCATTACAGTTAATTTCTCTTAAAATGTTTCTACTACGCTAATTACTGACTACTTTTATGTTCCTTTTTATGCATTATTTGAATAACTAACCACTTTCATCAAATTTCCTGCTTTCTTTTGATAAATAAATATGTTATCAGATTTTAGATAATAAAAAAAGTATCTTCACCAATCAGTAGTTGCTTATTTTCTTTCAGTCTGTGATGCTTTCAAAATAACTTTAGTCGGATCTTTTGAAATGCGATTTTAATTAAGAATCAAATCCAACAAATTTCAAGTTTTATCTTATGAATGCTGATTTGTAGGGAAGATAAAAAACAGAGTGAAGGTATCAGGTGCTACAGTCTTGAGAATTCTGCTCATACTCGTTACCAGCTGGTTGCAGAGTAATTTTAAAAACAGTTTAGTCAGTATCATGCAGTATCATGCCTTAGGATGCCAAGGACTTTCATGAACATACAGAAACAATCAAAAAAGACCAAAGTTTTGCTTCCATTTTGGAGCTAAGGAGGACTGTTCAATGTGCTGTGGAACTGTACAACGTGTGAAACAAAGTAATAAGTGAAAATATCTAAAACTTTTCTGTTAACTTCCATTTACATCGCTTCTGATCTCTTTAATTTTGTTTTAATATTTCACGAATACTAGACGATAGGTCTGTCTGTCGACGGGATTGAAGAATAACGTTTGATCGATTTATGGTTCAGTAATAAATTTTTAAGAATGCTACTAGTTAACAAAATGTGTCATACAAATAAAGAACACGTCAAAACTTCACAGCTCAGTGAATCAACTAAAGACATGACATAACACAGACATAACATAGAAATGAGCAAAAGCACTAAACTTGTATGCTCAAATTGCCTAAAATTATTTGAAATTGAAAAGTGATGAAGCCATCTTTGTCCCGCTTGAAATGAATAGTTATACCAAAGACAAAAGCAAAGTTTTGCACGACGAAAAGGTCCACCTATTGCTTATCATCTGGTTTGTAAAAATAGAAAGTTCAGTATTATGAACCATGTAATCAGAATATTGAACAGTATGGACACGAATAAAATGTGTGAAACATTTAGGTTTTCGTACCCACGGGTAGGCATTAAAGCCGATATACATTAGTTTCTTTATGTTAAGCTTTATTCAGTTAGGAGATTTTTACAATAATTGGTACTACACCAACCTAACGAATGCACATATATAAAAACACCTTCATAGACCAATTTCATCACAGCATTTTAGATAAAATATTTGATGACATATCCACAGGGTTTTATATTTGTACAGTTGCTTAGTTTCTCCAGTAACAGTCTTTCAGTGACACATTTAAGTGCTTTTGTTCCCATATAATGTAACTCAAAAACGCTAAAATGTGGTTTAGTTAGGAAAGAGACTTAGCACCCTATATGTATGACCGTAAGCTGATGCTTTCGAGAAATAACAAAACCGATAGTTTTCGATGAAAAATACTCCAATAAAACAAACATAAAATCGTTTTTAAGTAACTTATCCCCTTATAATAAAATAAATTAACCAGTTCGCTAATCAGATAACTAATTTCTAGAAAACTGAATATTTACTAAATATTTTTAGTGGAGAGATTATCCTCACTCAAGTGAGGACATGTAATGAGATTAACATGAAACTTCTGTTTATTATGCATTGTTTTATAAATAAGTAATTCAAAAATTGATCGACATAAGCTATGAAAAACCTGAAGTTCATAATGCATTCTGGTAATGTAATGAGTATACCATCAGAAAGAGTTTGATGTACAAGTCAGCCTTTATAAATGCAAGTGTCTCCAATACTGGTTAGGAAAGTCAGTATTATCTGCGTTTACATGATACTGGTTAATGATAACATCCCCTTATCTCTACAATTGCTGCTCCAAAGTGTTAGATATCAACATTTAAGATGTAATTCCTTAGCTTGAGGGTTACATTTCATTGCACTACTTCATTTAATATTTATCGACTGACTAGGACAAACAATCCATAGAGGAGGATCTGAAGTTCAGATAATTCAGAACGTTCGTTGTCAGCTTAGACACCGATTTAAGTGGATGTTAATATCTAGGAGGTTGTCCTTCCCTAACCTTTAAACATATGTCCAGTTGATTGACTACAGTGAGTATAAAAATCTGGTTAAATGAATTTAGTCAGTTGTTTTCAGATGTCTGATCTCAGATTATTACTCTCACTACTAATGTACTGCCTGAAGTTGTTCTATTTCCTAGTGATAACGTATTGTTTTGACAAGCTATAAATAAAGTCTACATAGTTATGAAGAAACTCAGTCATTTGTCAAGTCGTAATGAATACGCAAATGATTTCAGTGGGTATGTTAGGGAAAAAACAAAGATATTGTTGGATAACAAACTGAAATCTGAAAATGTATTAGCTAAAGGTGGTGTGGTCACCAACAGTAACAAGAATAACGATACTAATACATAAAAGGTGAGGAAGGTTGAAGCAGCATTAGTAAGAGTGGAGAAAAATTTTCAAAGGCTTCAAATGAATGTATACTGTACCACTTCATTACACAAACGACGAGACTGTAGCGTTACATTCAGAATTTACATACCCTTTAAATAATGCTGTCATTCAGACCTCAGATAATGAACAACTTTATACCTGTGAATGTACTGATTGAATTCTAAAGAGTTGAATGTTATTAAAAAAATCCAGAATAGAATGGTATGATGTGACTATCAGGACTTTCAGTGAACACCACATGCAATTATTATCTGACTTTACAGACTTCTGGTTCCTGTGATGAAGAGATAAAACTTCCTCTTCAGTAAATTTCAAAATATAAGAAATGGAACAGATGACAAGACTTGTGATCTGACGCTTGCTTGAGACAAGATAGACTGATTTGAAAGTCTCCTGAGTGGAAGAACTGTGACTTCCATGCTTAACTACTACAATAGTTATTCATCAGAGCTTATGAATACGAGTTGGTACCAGAAAGCTAGAATTAAAATTATAATTGTATCCAGTGAATTTTCCTGAATATGTAAACCTTATTCACGAAAATTCACAGAGAAATGAAATTAATTAAGTGTCCATATTTCTCGTTATGAATCAATTCAACTAACTTGAAATCTTTTCCACTCTATCAGAAAGTAGTTTTCATTGCATCAAACTAACGAAGTAATTCCATCTGAACACTAATTTATCGATATAGATTTCTTCAGAATAAACTTATTAAGATAATACGCAGATGGAGACTAGTTACAACTTATCCCTTTTCTGCCATTTTCCGAAGACATTAAAAATTCCAGAGTAGATAAGATGGGGTGGTCTCAATGCTACGTTATCATGTATATCGTTTCACTTGAAAGGTAAAAATAAATATCTGAGTAAATTAATACTTAGTATAGAGTGTTGAAATTCAGCTAGCGGAAAGCCCTGCTTCTTGAGTTCCTGCTTGTTGACACTCATTGACAAACATGAGAAAATTAGTATCTTTCTGATGATCTAAGCCTGCATCAATCTGTGCTGAAGTCAAATACTTAACGTTGAGGCTCTGTACATTGAAAATGAATCCGTAAAAGAGCCTATAAAAGATTATGTGCATGAATAAGTCACCAGTATGCAACCTATGGGGATGTTTATTTCTTGATGCTTATCCTGGTCTAAGTTTATCGATTAAATTCTGTAATACGTCTGCTAAGCTGAATGGTGTGACGCTGTGGCTTACTTTATTTTGTTTCAAACCGTCATTGACAGACGCTAATCAATGCTAAGTCTAAGGAATAAACAGCTATATTGCTAACCCACTGATGACTTGTTCATGCAAACTTATTTCTCTTTCGTTAAAAAATGAAGTGGAAGGGGCAACAACTGTAACCATATTTCATTGTAGATACTCAACTGTAAAGCAATTACAGATTAAGTTACTTTATTATGAATTTCACCTTCATTTAAATATTGACGTCCTTTTGCACTATAAGCTTTATTACCAAGTTATGTTATTTTATTTGTGATCAAGATTTGGTCAAATAGTATCACAACTGTACGGTCACGCGGGAAAAGTTGATGTTAGGTGAAGGTTATACTGAAATCAATCACAGAGTATCTGAAATATTTTCAGTGTCTCGCATGGAATCCTGGTCATGTTAGCAGCATAAACAATAACCAACATCACTCAGCTGCCCAGTTGATAACGTTCGAATCCCACCGCAGACCACAACATTTAGTTGGAAGCAGATATATGCCACTAGAAAAATCCAAATTAAGATAAACCCTACTATCTACATTTCACTTTTGTCCACCATGCAATACCATTAAAGTTGTAAATTACTTACTTCTCATTAAGACTGATCTGTTTGCAAAATCAGATTCATTTCTACTTTGTAAATCAGTCCATTTTGAACTAGATTTAACAATCAAAAGCCAAACGAAATCCTTGATATAAGTGTAAAGACTCACAATGACATTGTACCGCTAACTTGCTGATGTTTCCAGCACAAGTTGCTGCTCATAATTATTTCACAGTCACCACATAACTTTCCATCTCTCATTTTTATTGTCTTATCACCTGATGCTCTTTGTCCCTTAGTAGTACTAAAGTTTTCTGTATAGATATTCCGTCATTTCTATTAGATGTGATGGGTGTTGACTCTAGGAAAAAGACTCGACTGTCGGTCTGTCCGTTCATCTAGTTGTATTCGACCCGTGCGGAGCTACTTTATCCTTCACTACTGTGTGGTTGTGTGTTAATCTCTGCATTGCTATAGCTGTTTTCATCTGTATTATTAATCTAATTGGGGTACATCATTCTAAACTTAGCTTACTGCCTGTGCTTGGGTAATCTAACTAACTCAAATTGACTAGTTTTGCCTATGTACTTGACCTCATAGCCATTGTAAAGTATTTGTTACATTCAATTATTTTGTCTAATCGGGTCAGTCGGATAGTCAAGTCGATAAATTTTATAGCTGAGTGATTTTGTAGGTTGAAATGTCATCTTGATTCCAGCCTTGTTAAGAATCTTACGTAGTCTCCGATGTTCCTTCCTTATGCGATAATAATAAAAAGCCCAGATTTCTTTCTATTTCTGTTGTTGATGCTATTCATATTACTATTACTTCTTCCTTTCTTGTAGGTACTTAAGAATTTCTTGACAAACTGTAGAGGATGACTATTGATTTGGAGCGTTTTAA